TGTGTGTTTGGTTGGAAGTTGTCACTCGCCTTGATACTATTTAATTTTTATTTCACGAACTCACTACAGTAGCACGTTCAGTCACTCAGGACCTTTAAGATTAACTTTTTTTTTTCTGGAACGATTGATATTCTTATTAAACAAATAAGACCACTGTCTGGATATAATGAAGTTTGTAACTAGCCGAATAAAGAGAGAACCACTTGCAGGTGGTCTAGAAGACTACATCATCAATAACAAAGGGACTCAAGAAGCTAACATGACACAACCGAGCCATAAGTCCCCCACAACAATATTCAGCGATAAGCATAGAACAAAGAATAATGAAAGGAGACTTCAGTAACTGGACTTCCACTGATCCTCAGGACCCTAGACCATCTTTGTTATTGTCCTCTTCCTCCAAATGATGATAGCGGCTGACCTCTGCAAATTCCTTTCAATCCCTAACTGTAACTTCGACAATGAGATGATTCGGTCTGTTTGAACCTTCAAAAACCCAAAGGTTCTTAGACTTCCAAAGCCACCATAGGATGTATGTAGATAATTGGATGCGGGCTTCAGAAGTATCATTATGCTTTAATTCTGATATATTCCACCACCAATCTTTGAATGAGCCTAAGTGTTGAAGGCCATCCAGTTGACAGGGGCAAGCTTCCATACTAGCTCAACTTTTAAACAGAAAAATAATATATGATCCACAGTTTCCGCAGCAAGCCCACAAACTTTAAATATTGGATCAACCTCCCTACCTTTGTTCTTTAAGTTCACTTCCACCGGTAGGATTCCAGAGACACACTTCCATAAGAAGTGTTTAATCTTACCTTTAATTATGAGTTTCCATAATCTGGTTCTGGCAAGCTGATCTTTGATGTAGGATGTGCTGCTCTGTGTTGTATCCATGATGAGAATCTTTTTCTGGATGAGTGATGCATAAGTTTTAGTGATTCAGAACTGGTCCTTTTTGTCTTGTGTCGACATCCACGTGTCATCAACATCAGGATTAAGAGTGGTACAAAAATGATGTTCTAAATGGCCTTACAATCTGAGCCTATCGAGGTGTCCAAAAATTTGTCGTTGGACTACTGAGGTCACCAACGAAGCTCCTCGGCCTACCGAGGCGTCTAATATCCATCTAAATTATTACTATCAATGTTCAAGGTAAGTACTAACACTATTGACGTTGGTGAATAATAACTAGCTACCGAAGACAGGAAAAAATAACAACATCGTAAAAAAAATACCAGGGTCTGAGGACTTTCGAAGGCAGACGTCGAGTGTGAAAAATCGATGTAATCCCAAGAGCTTGATCCTCTCTCTCTCTGTGGAAAATATCAATGTCAAAAGTGAGAAGAGAAATGAGAGTCAAACATTTTGTAACAAGCAACTTGACTGTCTTTCTGTACAACAGTGTCGAAAAGTCACCAAAGATATGTATTGATCTGTAAATGTCTTATAGCTTATGTTTGTACGCTTAAAAATTTCCGCGTACAAAAATATGAGGGAAGTGATAATGGAAAAAATATACATTTATTAGGCGACACGTG